GACATATATAAATAATAATAATTATTATAAAAATATTAATAATCATAATTTGTTTTAAATTATTATGTTTACTAAATAAATTATTTCAATTCTTAATTAAATATAAAATTGTATTGAGTTTTTCTATGCTTTACTAATTAGAATTATAAGAATAAATAGCAGCAATAGTTTTATTTCATTTAGTGATAGTTATGACATTTTTTATAGAGAAAAATACAGATAGTATAAAAATTTAACTACATCAATTTAATTTTATCATAGTTCAGAGACACCCAGTAATTACAATTTTTTATCAAATAAATTGAAGAGTCTTATTCTTAATTCAAATAGGCAATGCATAGAAGAAATCATCTAAAGCTCTCATTGATTCACATTAATAGAAATTAAATGCATTTAAGACCATATAGGTTAACAGGATTAAATTTAAGATCGTTTTACAATAGGAGAAGAACAGAAATCAAAAAAATTTAAAGATTTAATTGATAATAATGATAAACAACCAAATAAGAAGGAAATCAAAAAAGGATAGTTATAATAATATATTTTATTTTGATTATAAAAGGGTAGTGTAGAAACATAAAATAAAGTTATAATTGCAAATTATAGATATTTTGTAAGCAAATTAGGGACCTGAATTTTAGTACGAATTAAAAATTGAAAAAAATATCCAATATCATATGAGACTGATTTAAAAATACATCAAAATTTTTGTGATTTGTTTAATATGAAATTTCTATAGATGGTAAGAGTCAGGATAGTATTTAGAAAGTGTTAAATTAACTTATAAATTTTGAAATTGTATAAGAGGATGCTTCAACAGCATTTATCCCAAAACTTTAAAAATGATAATTGATATAATTCAAAGATTCATTTAATATAAATTTTTGTATTGATTTATAGAAAAAAATTGAGAAAATAAAGGAAGAGTAGAATTATCTATTTGTGTGGTTAAATTAGGTATAGGAAGAAATTAATCAATTTAAAAAAATCCAAAATTATTGAATAATTAAATTCAGTAAAATTAATATATATTTAGAATTTTATGAGGGAATGAAAGTTCATGAACAAAAATTGGAGTAGATTAAATTTATGAATTATAAGACAAGCCCATTCAAAAAACAAGTAGGATAATCTTTATTATAATAATTTATATCACTTTTAAAGAATTATTATTATTTTTATGATTTATTATTTCTTTTATTAAACACCTTTATTAAAATAGATGATAAGGCTTTGTCAAAATTAATATTTAGAGAATGTAATACAATTCAATAAGAGACATGAAGAAATATTCAATAATTTAGATGAAAAAATATTGAAATGGTAATTTACAAAAGGATTAATTTATTAATTATTTATTAGATAATTCTAAAGGAACATTATCATTAAATTAAACATTTTACAAAGTATTATTAATGTTTATTCAAGATATTTTACAATCATTTTCCTTAAGGATAATATTA